AATCTTGAATTATTTCTTTGATGATTTTTCTCCACTTTGTTTTAATAATTCTTTCTAGAACTTTTTGTTTTAAAATATTTGTTTTGCTGATCCTTTAATTTTAATGTTATTTCTCTCCCATTTTCAATCTCTTGGGATTTTTTGTTTTAATTTATGGTAGCTTTTCTCAAGTTTATTTTTCAATTTTTCTATTAATTTAAGGAGAATTAATATGTTTTTAATTTCTAAGATCTCTTTTTGTTCTTTGAAAAATTTAAGTAAATATCTTGTTCTTGTTGTTATATTTTTCTGTACTATCTCTGGGGATAGTTGTTATCATTTTAAGTTTTCTGTTCCTGATATTTTCTGTTTACCCCAAGTTCCTTTTCTGTGTGTGTGTGTGTGTGTGTGTGTGTGTGTGTGTGTGTGTGTGTGTGTGTGTTTCATCTCTACCTTTCATGTTAGTGATTTCTACCTAATAACTGATGGTTCTTTATATTGTAGAATAAAGTACTAAACCTCTGTTTAAAGTTGGAGATTGTTGAATGGCTGGTGTCAATGGAGGGGAATTGGACCCTAACTCCTTTTTTGGTGGTGGGGGGGATCAGTTATCATTATCTCCGGTTTCTTTTTTGTGGATTAGCCACTTTCCACAAAGAGAAATCCTTCCATTTCTTTCCTGGAGGTTATAAGCCTGACATTCAGCGTTCTTAGTAAAAGAAAAGGAGATCTCATTAACCAGTACACATTCTCCATATAGCTTTTTAGACAATCCCTTATTTTTAGCATGGACTCTTTGTTTGTATCCCTTAGTCCAAAGTTTTTCTGGTTTAACCTCTCCAGTGTGAATCCTTCAGTCTTTTACCAGAATGAATGGTGAGGTAGTTGCATGGCTGCATGAATTAAGGGAAAGAATCCATAGTCATTAGACTTTTAGCCATTACTCATCTTTTTAGCTTCATCTGCATTTCTGACCTCTGAACTACCTACCTGGTTTCTTTAATTCTTATCTTCTTAGTTTAATTACCCACAGGCACATTTCTCTGTTCTCTGTCATCTTCTTGCTTCTTGTTCATGAGATAACCATCTTTCAAAATTTTGATGACAGTTCTTGCCTCAGTTCTTGCCTCTTTGTGAGCTGCACATTCAATTCTTGTCTTTTCATTTTCATATCTTCGTTGGTTTAGGGCCCTAAAATTTTTTTATTAACAGTCTTTTGGTGATGGTTAAGGAGGGAACAGAGGTAAACTTGCATGTAGTTTGATTTCTTAATTCTTCTACACAGATATACAGACGATTGTCATTAGTTCATCTTTTTTTTTTTTGGCTTAAACAAATTAGTTCATCTTTTAATTTGAAGATGATCATTACAGGAAAATCATAATTTCTTTACTCAACACCTCAACACTGGGGAGTTGACACTGAAGATTAAGATCTCAGTGAGAATGGAAGAATCATGGCAGGCAAGAAAGTTGGTGGAAAAAGAATCTGGGTTAATACTGCAACACAGAACTAAGAATGTGTTAGAAGTTGATATTTTTCAGGCAAGTACTACAAGGAGAAGAAATAATAGTGCATTATTTTATATTATATTATAAAAATTCAGTACTTTTAGATTATTTCATTGATAGTGTGTGCAATATAAAATTGTATTTCAATTGCAGTGCCTTAAGGATTCCCTCTTCCCTTCCTCAAGTGGACTGTGACAGCAGTATTTGAATAAATTTATGTGAGAGTGCTTTATAAAGACATTATTTCAAGTGTCACTGTCCTTGTGGTTGTCCTATTGGCTCATGTCAGCTGACTGTACATTTTATCAAAATATTCTACCTTTTCTCTAAATTAAGTTCTGTATAAAGTTTAGCTGATTTTTAAGAGTTAAATACGTTGAACAGTAACTATAGTATTCTGGCTTCCACATGTAACAACAATAAATAGTGCCTTTCCTTAAACTACCCAATTATTGGATAAGTAATGCTGCCTATATCCAAAGCCATGCTTTTTTAGTTTCAGAGCTTTTGCCTTTTTTGTTTCACCAGTTAACATCCCTAGCAGATTTCCTTTCACAATTTCTGGAAGCAGCATTCATGTAGCACATAATGTTAATGGCGCCCTGAGTTGTTTAATGCCAATACTCTTGCTTCTCTCTACCTTTATCGTGCTTATATTTGGGAGGTTTTACAAATTATGATTTGAGGGTAGAGTGGAAAAAAAACCAAAGTTATTAAGACTTTTTTTTTTAGAGTAGTTTTTAGGTTCACAGCAAAATTGAGGGGTAGATACAGAGAGTTCCATGTACCTTCTGCCCCCACACCTGCATAGCAACTCTCGATATCAACATTCCCCATCAGCGGTACATTTGTTACAGTCGATGAACCTACATTTACACATCATAATCACCCAAAATCTATAGTTCATATTACCAAGATTGTTTTTTACTAGCAATTTTTCTTTGTTGTTGAAATCTATCAAGAGATAACTATAATTTATTTTTAAAAAATATTAGCTTAAGCCAATAAGAACAAATTATTAAAAAAGCATTTCTTAAGGAGAAATTATGCATAATGTTGTTTTAGTTATTAAAACAGGTTTTAAAATATCTGAGAAATGTAACTGATCATAAACATGTGAGCTAACTTCTTGATAGTATTTGTCTAAACCAAGATGCTTTATACAGGTACATGAGGTTTTTATTAGAAGAGATTTTAAGCAACTTCTTATAAGAGTCTTATGTATAACATGCATTAGATATTAACAAAGATTTACCATTTGTGATTTAAGGTAGAGTCCTAAACTTGGTAAGCTATGAAAGAAGCAGTGTTATAAAATAATTTAAAAACAAATCCATTTCTTCCTATTTGTATTCATTTTCTTGCCAGAAACTAATTCAGTTTTTTAGTTTTGAACACCACCAGCAACCCTTTAAAATATCTTTCAGCAGCTCTTATCTGCTTACCTCTATCTTGGTTCTTTATATTTTTGAAAAATTGGCACAGAATGAGAGTCTGACTATGGGGACTTGAGGGCTAAGGGAGGGTATTAGTTTGTTATTTTATCCCTCTCATCATCTAACCTAATGATTGGAGTAGGATAAACTATTCACTAATTATAATTTCCTACTACTACAGTAGGTGTTAAATATGTAGGGTAGTTCAGCTTGCTTTCTTGAAAGGACAAATATGACTCAGGCCTTGTTACTTTCTGACTTGAACCTTGGACAAAACCTTTATTTCTCTAAGTCTTGGTTTTCCCACATGTAAAATGGAATAATAACAGCTACTGCTTTTTGGGGGGGGATGGGTGGGTGGGAAGATGATGGATAAATAAAATAAACTAGGCATAGTGCATAGCCTTAGTACTGAGTGAATATTAGGTGCTATAATAACAAGTTCTACTGTTACTACTATTACTGCTACTATTTATTTAAGTATTGTTGATACCACTTAATTTTCTGAGATATTGGCTTAAGTTTTTTAAGTTATGGGTTTTTAGAATCTGATAAAAGTCTGATAAAATGATAAAAATATATAAATAAACAACATTTTAGACTCCTACTTTGAGGATAGTAGATATTACTTCAAATGGAAACAACACAAGTGGTGAATATTGGAAAGTAGCAACTAGTCTATACACGTTTATTTAACAACCAAATAGAAATTAGTAAATTAATAGGTCCTTCTGAAGTAAAGATTAGTATGAGAAGGTGTTTCTTCAGTTGATGTCCTTTAACCATTTGCAGATCATGTAGTGTGTTAATTTTACTTGAGATTCCTGGACCTCATCTCAGGAAGATTCTTGGAGTATTATGGGGCTTCTTGAACACACTAAAGTTTGAGATAAAAGATTTCAGAATAATGTTTAATATATTTATCACAAAATTTATGGTTTTCTTAATTATTCATACATAGTTCTGCTGAAAGGAAGTTCAGGTAAGTATGAAAGATAATATATATTTGACCAAATGGGAAATTGTGAAAAGATGGGAAATTATATTGGTAGATGTTCATGAATATAGGCAAAATAAGTTGTAAAGTCTTATGTGATAAGATCAAATTGTACAAAACATTTTCACTAAGTACTGGACTTTGAGTAAAAATTACTTAACACCTCTAATTCATTATACCTTAATCTGAAAATGAGGATAATAAACATCTTTGTTATAGGCCTGTTGTGAAGATTGAATGAGAAATGTGCACAACACACAAGTCCTCAGTAAATGTAAATGTTAGTTGGTTGGAGTTGTTCATCATTGCCGTCATTTTAGTGGTCTGCAATGTTGTCAGTAATCTTAAAGTTTCTCTGCCTGTTTAATCTCACCTACTCTTCAGGGCCAAAATGAGTTTCTCTCTTTTGAATTAAGTTTTGTCTACCATTTATTTATGGTGATTATTCCCTTCTGTGTGTTTATGCCCTTCCCCAAGTAGCATATAATAGAGATGTTAATATCCACTTGTTTCGTTAATTGATATAGAATCCTTTTTTTCTTGATCTACACACAGGATGGCAATTTTGCTTATAAGCTATTATTGCATTTTAACTTAAGAGCTGTTTCAAGTTACCTTGTTTCTCTCCTCGCTCCACCTGACGAAGATATTTTGAAAAGTCCGTTTACTCTAGAAATGCCCTGTTTAAATTAAATGTCTCTGCCTAAATGAAACTCAATTTATATTAAGTTAAATTTGTTTCAAAAATAAAAATCTTACTCTGTATTCTAAAACTAAATATGATTTTTAATATCTCCTGTTTTTAAAATAAATTTTTGCTTAAAATATTTACTTTTATTTCTTGAGCTTTACTAATCAAGAGCTGACGATATGAGTATAGTTATGAGAGTTCAGCTCATTTATTTTAAATTGCATCCTTTCACCTCCTAAACACTAAACTATGAAACCTAACGCAAATACTGTAAGAACATCTGAGGTAGATAATTAAAGTATAATTAAGTTTAAATGCCTTGGTGAAGGAGTATAAAAATTATTTAAATTCAATCGGCTAGTACATTTGCAGTTTTCTTTTATTAGGTGTGAAATCTAAGAATCCCCTGCCAACTCTTGAGGGCTCAATCCAGAATGTTGAATTGAAGTACTGCAGCACATCATTGGTCAAATGCGCCTCTGGGACCATGGGATCAATAAAAATTTGTGCCAAAGCCCCAGGTATGTGCAGCTGGACCGTGTAAAACTTTATTGCCTGTATAGGAGAATTGGCCTTGTATTTTACAAGGAGCGTTGCTGAAACAAGAATTTACTCATTGTTCCTATGAATCAGAGGTTTTAAATTTTTTTATTTTACTTAAAAAATTTTATTAATTGTGCCAAGATGATACTTCTTTATTTTAATAAATTAATTTTTGTTTAAGGGAAAAACTACATAGTTTTAAGAATCGTTCTGAGGGAGAAAAATTAAAGTTTATTCTTATACTTTTTGGGAGAATAGGAGGTATAGATATATGTGACACTTAAAAATTAAAATGTTGTTAGTAAAATTAAACAGAAAACCCAGCTGTTTTTCAGTTTGAGGTCATAATTGATTTCACCTTCCTACCAATACTTTATTCATAATATTTCCCTTAAACTATTCATAATTTATTTTTTTTCAGTGCAAACTAAATTTCTGGATAAGTTTAAAGAGGTATAGGTTTCAATGAATATTTAAAACTGTGTTCATTTTGTTTCCTTTTATGAGCTTTTCTAAACATGTTCTACACTGAGTAGATAAATATTAAAACTTAATTTTTAAGAATTAAAAATGCTTTTAATTTTATCAGTCATATTTTTTTAGGGTATAACTAAATGTACAGCTAAAATTACCAAATATAGTTGAAATGTTGTTAGTATATTTTAAGATCATGCATCCTTAAACTATTTCTATATTATATAAGATATTTTTCACTAATGTTTCTGTTTAGGTGACAGTGGAAAAGAGAAGTTGATTCCATTGCTTCAAGGTCCTTCTGACACTAAAGATCTTCACAGCAGCAAGTGGCTCAATGAGAGTAGAAAACCAGAGTCTCTCTTAGCTCCAGATTTGATAGCCTTCACAGTCCAAGTTCCTCAGTATATGGACTACTGCCATAATTCTGGTAAGTGCAAACTTTTATTCACTCATTTTGCATTTTATTTTCTAGTAAGGCTTTCAAAATTCGACTTCTAAAAAACATTTTGTATCCATTGTACTCTCTGTAGTTGTGCTCTTTGAAGAGACAAATGAAGTATTTTTGTGTCATTTTTGATAAATGATGTGTTTATTAGCAATAATGATTTTATTTTATGAGAGATAAAATTCAGTTTTATGTATAACAGTCTTAGATTCATGACTACTAAGTTCAACTGAGTTTTAAAATATACCATATAGTGCAGTATGTAGAAAGGAAGAAAAGAAATTTAAAACACTGGAAAGAAAAAGTATTTTTCATAAGATAGTAGTACTTTGTTACCCACAGTTTGCCATATTAAAATTAGGTGTTTAGGCTTTTTGTAGTTTTGCAAAAAGGAAAAGATATTGCTGGTGGAACTAAGAAAAAAACTCAGAGGCCAGTATCTTATTTCTTAGACTTACATTATTTTCTAGCAGCATTTTGCCTGTAATCTGCCTTATTTTATTCAATATCATAATAGTGGAGCCATACCTATCATGTTGAGAGGAGATACCAGAAAGATCAAAGAAAACTGGGGGAAATAAATTATGGTTAGTAGAGACCAGTAACAGCAGTATGTGGTTAGTAAAGCCATGATAGTCAGTCACTGAAACTAGAAATAAGATAGCTGTTATGTTGATTTCTTAAAAGCATACGGGAGAGGGAGCCTGAATTTTTCTTTAGAATTAGTCAGTGAGGAAGTGGTTTCAAATAGTTGCCTAAGAGTAGAGCCCAAACCCAGACTAAGACTGTGACTATGGATATAATTTTACCGACCTTTTAAGGTAGGGATTGATAAACATTTTAGTAAAGGTCCATATAACTTATATTTTAGAGTTTGTGGGCCATATCGTCTCTGTCTCAACTATACAGTTCCACTGTTATAGCATAAAAATAGCCATAGACAATATGTAAATGAATGGATGTGACTGTATTTCAGTAAAATTTTAATTCAAAAAACAGGAGGAAGGCCAGATGTGGTAGGTAAACCAACCCCTCTTTTAGAGAGAAGAGATCAGTGGTTAAATAAACATCAGGGTTTTGTTAATGCCTATTTAATTGTGTCCCTTAAATATGCTATTTGGTAAACTCCTTTGTGTAATTATCCAAGTAGTAGTTTTTGATAGGTTTTGTTTTAAACTCATCAAGTCATTGAAATGATATTAAAATGACCAGATTGTCTAGTTAGAATTTTGATATCTAAGAAGGGGGGAATAAGCTTATTTGTATATACCACATATTCTTAAGTTGAACAGGGACTCTGTGTTTTTGCTTTTGCCATATGCACAGAATGAATTAATGAGTCAAGCTTATTTAAATAATAATCACATCTTTCTCATAACAATATGCATATTGTTCTTTGTAATTTAAATGCATTTCTGGGGTCCAAAAATGTATTTGCATTTCTAACTTATTAAATTGGCCTAAAAGTAAACTATTATAAAAAATTATACCTACAATATTTTTAGGGTAAAGTTTTACATTTTTTTTTTCTTGCTCTTAAGGAAATTCACTTAGTCTTCAACATTAATGTTATGTTTAGTGATATGTTTATGGATTTACATGTAAAATTTTAATGTGATCATGTATTTGGTGCTTTGAAAATACTCCTTTGGGTATGTTTTAATCCTAAAATATAATGTGTTTTTACTTAAACTACATTCACATACTTGATTTAGAGCATTTTTATATTTAAATTTTCCATTCACCTTGGTACTGCCACCCACATTCATGGCTTAGGTATTTATGATATGGTTATGAGAGACCTCATAAGTATTAATTTTTAAAGCTAGTTTAAAATAATATTGATTAATTTTATGTTCCGTAACAAGATTTAAATTGGATGTGTGTGTGTATAACTGATAGTATAGACAAATTATAAATAAATTTTTTGCATATACTCACTCAGATAAATTTTGTCTTTTTGCATATGCTCCCAAATTGAAGACAGGGGATTAAAGCTTGGAGCCAGCAAATGTTGAGTATATTATATAGAAGTGAGTTTTGAGAGAAGCTTAGTATAAAGAGGCAGAGTTTTTTGACTCTAATTTCAGAATGTGAGGGAATGGACAGCTTTATAAATGGGAAGTACGTACTTACATGACTGAAAAAAAAATTCATTGTATTAGTAAAACTCATTATAAAAATAATACTTTACAGTTTAAAAATCATTTTCATGTAAATGCTTTACTTGTTTACAAAAGAAGACTATTCAGAACAGCAAATGTTATTTGTGTCTTACTGAAGAGGAAATAGAGACCTAAAAATTGTCCAAGTACCTAGCAAGTCAGATTCTGAACTTGAACCTGGGACTTCTAACTATATAATGTTTTCCCACTGTCCTAGGCTATTTATATTTATCATATAACCTTAGGATCCATATTGCTGGATATTTCATTTCCTAGCTTAAAAAGTTCTTAACTTGAAGATCTCCTTCCTTACTTCATATTAAGCGTTGTCAAAAGAGCCAAACTTCATGGTGCGATGGTATTGCTCTGTCTTTGAAGTCTTAGCAACTACCTTTTCACTTTTCCCTCTTCTTCCTTTGGTTGCATTCTCTACTTGACTGACTGATTACAGTGAAGCAGCTGAAGCCTCTTGTGGGGAGTCTAGTGGGCCAGCTCACATACTGTATTCATTGTTACTATTCATAGAAACCATTTAATGACACTTCTGTTTCTTACATTGGTGTAGGTATTATGGGTCAGACAGAGAAACTAGATGCTACTTTGGTTCCTTCAGAGGTACAAGCACTTGATGACTATAATTGATGTTTGTAATTTATTTTAAAATGGGTTCTAAACTTTTTTCTTTCCTTATCTTTTAAATATAGACTTTGGCTGTTCTTCATGTGCTATATTTTGCCTATGATTTATAGCAAGTTCTGCTTGTTAAAATGTTCTGAATCTTGGTTAAACCTGGTATTAATACATAAATAAATTTGGAGGTGTCTGCTATTTAGAAATATAAAATGATCACAAAGTACTATGAACTTAGAATTAAAGGAACTTAGAAGTCATCCATTTCAGTTTCCAATTTTTAAGCCAGTGTTAGTCCTTTGCTTCAGATCTCTTTCTTTCACTTTCTCAATGGTGATTATGCTTTTTGCACATGCTGTTTTTTTAGTCTGGGATTCTCAAAACTATGCTTACCTTTTCACCTTGTACCTGTTTAATTCCAGCTTGGTCTTAAGATCTTAGCTCGATGACTACTTCTTAAAGGAAGCCTTCCCTGATGCTCCTTTCCCTTCCTCCCAGTTTGATTAAGTACCTCTTTTACATTCATGTTCATAGCTCACTGTACTTTTTTTTCATAACACATAATGGTAGTGTGTATTTATATAGTTGTGTGACTTGAATGCTATCTGTCTTCACCATTTGGCAGTGAGTTCTGTGAGAGCAGAGTTAATTACTGTTTGGTTATTTTATCTCCAGGGCCTAACATTACCTGGCATATAGGAAAAGCTTGAAAAATCATTTGTTGAATGAATGAATAAATGAACATTTATGACAGATTGCCAATAGTACGAATGTATTTGACAGATAAATAGTAAGTTCTCAATACATTGCAACCTCTTCCCTTCTCTCTATTTCTTCTTCTTCTCCTTTTGCATATATCTACCATTGGAGAGAATATCTACCAGTATCTTAATTTGTTAGACAGTTCTAATTACTATTAGATCCTCTGTTCATTAGACTGCAACTTTCATTTCTTGGTCTGGTTTTAGTCTTAAAAGTGACATTGAATAATACATCAATATTAAATATACCTGACAAAACCCATTATCTTATCATTCTTAACTCCATTTCCCTTTCTCAGTATTCATCCTTTTTTTCGGCATTTGCCAGAGAGAAACCATAGTCTCTTGGCTTTCAAGTGTTAAGAAACAACTCTCTATAGGTCTTTCTGTGTTTTTGCTTATCTTGTAAATGAAGGTACTGACTACACACATCTCTTCAGAGATGTGTGTATATTAAGGGCCTTGGAAGAGAGATCCAGTATCTCTCTTTGAAGACAATGGAAGGCATGCTACTTACTGTCCATTATAAAAGATTTGGTTCCTTAACCAAGGGTTCATCACTTATTATGTATCACACTGCATGTGCAGATATCCATCTGGATATATCTTTGTTGTTACTTCTGTGGAACTAGGGAGCAAAGGGTACTGATGCAAATATATCGATATTCATGCTGCTTGCTGTGCCATGAATAATACAGTCCTTTGACTCAGGAATCTTCTTTCTTCTATAGCGTTCATGACACTGTTGTAGGGTAAAATTTTAGGTTCGGAATTCTTGACACCACAACAATGATTCTTGATTCTTGCTGGACCATCTTCATTTCCCTCTTCAAATATGTTTTTTTTCCTTTGTGCCTTAAATATAAGTCCTTTCCAAGATTATGTATTAGTCCTTTTTATTTGGATGATCTAATAAAATACTCCTGTTTTCAGCAGTCAACCATATGTTTATATCTGTCTGTGCATTTATTTTCTTTTGAGATTCAGACTGCAAATTTTAGCCACCCCTTGACCATATCCTTATGTATTATTTAATGGTGCCTGCTGCATTTAAAAGTAAACTCAATAAAATTCCCTCACCCCTTTCATACTTCATTATTCACTATTTCAATTAATGGGCATACTTCCCTCTTAATGCTATTAATTTCAACACTAGTTCAATTGCACTTTCTTTCTCCCTTGCATATGGTTGATATTCTACAAAACTTTTTTTTTTTAAACTGAATGAATAGTAAGGCTAAACATAGTAAATTTATTTTAGTCATTTCCCATATAATTTGTCTTCAGATTCATTGCCATACTGATTACCTTCACTACATGTTTGAAAATGTCTCTTAAAATTTAACACAATCCTCTACATAGCACAAAGTAGAGTATATTTCTCAGATTTGTATAGTGAACTTCTATTTAGTTACATTTGTCTTGA